CCGATAAACCCCAGCAGCAGCAGCAGCAGCAGCAGCAGCAGCAGCAGCAGCAGCAGCTCGTGCTGCGGCCCACCAAAGCCCCCAAAGAAAAAAAACGCTTAGATTATAAACCCACGGACTTTCTTATCGACCACGTTAACCTATGCTTCCGCCTAGATGAAGAAGAAACCAAGGTCAGCAGCAGCAGCAGCAGCAGCAGCAGCAGCAGCAGCAGCAGGAGTAGCAGCAGCAGCAGCGGCAGAAACAGAAACAGCGACAGCAGCAGAAACAGCAGCAGAAACAGCAGCAACAGTACCAGTAGTAGCAGTAGCAGCAGCAGCAGCAGCAGCAGCAGGAGTAGTAGTTGCAGCAGCAACACCAGTACCAGTAGTAGCAGTAGCAGCAGCAGCAGCAGTGGCTACTATTCTTTCTGCTGCTTCTCTTTCTCCCCCCATTCCCGCCCCTACAACACCTACAACCACAACCCCAACCACAACCACACCAGCTGCTGCTGCTGCTGCTGCTGCTGCTGCTGCTGCTGCTCAGGTTACCTCTATACTAACAGTTCGCCGGCGTGAGGGTACACCCCCAGCAGACTTGGTGTTGGATGGTGAGGGTTTAGACTTAAGAAGGGTTTGGGTTGACGACAAGGAGGTACAGGGGGCCCCCCTGGGGGCCCCCAGCAGCACTGGGGGGGCCCCCAGCAGCACTGGGGGGGCCCCCGCTGGGGGCCCCCAGGGTACAGCAGCAGGAGGGTACAGTGTAGATAGTGAAGGGAGTTTACATATATCATCGGAGCTGCTGCCTGCAGCAGCAAATAAAGAGTTTAGAGTGAAGACTGAGGTGTACATACACCCCAATATGAATCTTAAACTTTCGGGTTTATATAAAACAAATAAACTTTTGTGTACACAGTGTGAAGCAGAAGGGTTTAGAAGAATTACTTTTTTTCTTGATAGGCCAGATGTTATGGCCAAATTTATCGTAAACCCTAAACCCTCATAAACCCTCATAAACCCTCATAAACCCTAAACCCTAATCCCTTGTCAAACCCTAAACCCTAAGCCCTCATAAACCCTAGATAAACCCTTAACCCTAGTCCCTAAACCCTTGTCAAACCCTAAACCCTAATAAACCCTAGACACAGCCGAAACCCTAGACCCTTGTCAAACCCTAAACCCTCATAAACCCTAGATACACCCCAAACCCTAATCCCTAAACCCTTGTCAAACCCTAAACCCTAATAAACCCTACACCCTAGTCAAACCCTAAACCCTAATAAACCCTAGACACACCCGAAACCCTAAACCCTAATCAGACTCTAAACCCTTGTCAAACCCTAAACCCTAATCAGAGTTTAAGCCGTAAACCCTCGTGAAACCCTTTGCCCAAGATAAACCCTAAACCCTTATGAAACTATAAACCCTAATCAAGCCCTAAACCCTAAACCCTGATAAACCCCTAAACCCTAAACCCTAATCAAGCATCTACCTGTAAACCCTAACTATTAACAAACCCCTATAGCCCCTATACCTGAAAATAAGGGTTTAGGGTTTAGGGTTTAGGGTTTGTGTGCAGGTGCGGCTAGAAGCAGACGAAGCAAA